TGGCACCCACAAGGAGGAGGCCGTGCAGAGCGCCCAGCTCTCCGCGCAGCCCTGACGCGGCTGCACCCCGCAGGGATGGGAGGTCACGGAGGAGCCCACGGGAGCTCGGGACCACAGGGATGTTCAGCCCTCTCGGGTATGGGAGGGAGCGGGGAGGAGATGCCCAGCTCCCACCCCAATTAACCGTAATTACTGAGCCCTGAGGGCTGCCACCAGCTGCAGAAAACCAGCCTCACCCCACCACGGGGGCAGCAATTTTGCCTTCTGCCCCACTGGGGCCCTGCCAGGGATAACGAAGGCTCAGCAGCGGCTGGGGAAAAAGGTAATCCACTGTGTACTGGGACTTTCAAGAGTGGTTTTGCGTTGCCAGAGCTGCGGGTGCCCATCGGGATGCGGGACGGAGGGACCTGGGCAGCTGCATCCGTACACGCAGATGAAGGGAATGACAGTCTGCAGCATTTATTACATTTACAAAGCTGTATAGTTATACAAATGTTTAACCAATAACGATATATGAATATCAGAATATATTACAAGACATTAAAACATCGTACAGGATGCAAACATACAGAGCAATTTGGTTTGTACCATATAGGAAAAAACAGAAAACAAAACAACCCCCCCCAAGAGCCCCACACAAACCCCAGACCGAGGCACTTCAGCTGCCTCCCTCAGTCCATTTTGGCCTATTTACAAGGAGAAAAGGGGTGTCAAAGTCGAGACAAATGGAGCCCCCCGACACGCTTCGAGCCCCTCGTTCAGCCCCAGCCCAGGGATGGGGAAGAGAGAAAAGGGGCCCCGCAGGGACCCTTCCCGGGCCCCATCCCGAGTGCCCGGAGGGCAGCGGAGCCCGGGGCTGTGCTATATTACAAGGAGAAAAGGGGTGTCAAAGTCGAGACAAATGGAGCCCCCCGACACGCTTCGAGCCCCTCGTTCAGCCCCAGCCCAGGGATGGGGAAGAGAGAAAAGGGGCCCCGCAGGGACCCTTCCCGGGCCCCATCCCGAGTGCCCGGAGGGCAGCGGAGCCCGGGGCTGTGCTATAGCAAAGGTGCCGCTGTCGAGTCTGTGATGAGGGTGCAGTACTTAAAGAAAAATAATTAAAAAAAATAAAAAATACAGTAACAACATCCCATGTTTCCTGACCTTTGGAGTCGGGCTGTTCATACAATTCCCGTGCCGCTTTCCTTTGGTTCTCACTGTGCCGTCGCGGGCGGCCGCAGCCGCCGCCCGGCCGC